CGACTGCTGCAGCTTCCTGAGCCTGACAAAGGGTTTTTGAACCCGAAAGCTTGCTTAATAACTATTCTCCAACCATTTGGGTTGGTCTAATAAAAGATATCAAATTCACCCAAGGAACCTTGTCTGCCTAACTGCATACCATACAGCATCCTACCAGGTTCACTAGCTGTCCTGCCTTCAGGATGAGAGGCTCAAATGTCTTTCCCTGCCTGTGATGGCAGCAGTATTTATAACCATGTGGGTGGGGTAGACAGAGCTCTGATCTCTGTTGGTGGGCAGCACCCAGGCTGGGCGCCCCGGATCTTTCTCACTACGTGTGTGCACCTCCCAGCAGAGAGAGGCTTTATCTTGGTTGGGCCTTGTAGTGCTACCATGGTAGCAATCAATTATGTAATTGATTATTGATGCTCTAATCGACCCTTTCTCATGCCCAATAAAGGCTGGTGCTGGAGTCAGTGCAATGGATTTCCCCAGTAACATTTGGCTGGTTCATGTACATTTAACCCCAGGTCTCTGTTCTGCTGCAGATTCCCCTAAAACAGAGGAGACTTGGGACTCATCAGCAGATGAAAAGTCCTCAGACTGGTGCCCTGGATGGAGTCCGTCCCCAGGAGCAGGTAAGGACTGGTGGTTTTACCCTTTCATGTGCATAGTGACATTGCACCAATGTCCCTTGAGCTTCTAGCCCATGGAGCGATGTCCTTGCAGGTTCTGACACTGTTTTGATCACCACCATGCGCTGGGACAGGGGTTGGGATCTCATGTCCAGCTTTGTGTCTGAAGGTCTATTAAAAAGGGTTACGGGACTATGATTATTCCTTCTCTCCCCTCTTCCATACATTGAAGTCTCCAACTGCCTTAGTCCGAGGCCAGTACAGGAGACGAGCAGGGGTTTCCCCATGCCAGCAGCACCAGGCTAACCTGTGCACTCTCTTCTCCACTCCACACACAGGGACCCTTAGTAGAGCTGATGAGCAGCCTTCTGAGGAGGGGCCTGCAACCCTGGAGCTGCAGAGGACTTCCCCAGGGAGAATGGGAGAGAGGGCCTCCCTGACACCTGAGCCGGGACAACTGGAGAAGCGAGAAGGCATGCCTCCAAAGCAGGGGGGGAGCTTGGAGGTGAGTAAACACCAGATTCATTTTGGGATGAGACTGGAGCTGGGGAAGAAGTGAGGAGGAGCCAGGGGTGCAGGGAAGAATTGTGAGCAGTGGAGAGACTTGAAGAGTGACAAGTGGAAGCTTCACTGCTGACAGAGGCTTGCTCCCAAGTACAAACAGCCAGCATTGCCGACACCGGAAAGTCTTGGCAAAGTCCATGGAGCCAGATCTTCCTCTACCTCTAGAAGCACTGCCTCAGCTGCCTCTAAGGATCAATCACATAGAACATTTTAAGACCTGAGCACCAAGGAAGAGCCCCTCTGGGTACACTTTGTTACCCCACCAGCACCAGGAAGCACAAAGCAATAATCTCTACAGATGAACTCAGAAAGTGCTCTCCAGCCTGGCTGAGACAGCAGAGCAGAGAGGGTCTCTGCAGCTGATGCTAGCAGGGTCTTTCCAGCCCAGCCAGTGCCTGGGCAGCCTTATGGGAAGGCAGTTTGGTAAGAGTTAGCGCCACACCTGGCTGCTAGGCAGTTGTTAGTCTGATGTCCAGCAGAGGACATGATATATTTGAAGTTTACAAACTAAGTGAATCATAGCATGAATGATGCATGCCCCCAGCAGCTGTGGGGGACGCGGCGGCGGCTGGAGCGTGGCAGCAGTTTCATAGTTTCATAGTTTTAGGGTCAGAAGGGACCTAATAGATCTTCTAGCCCGACCCCCCGCCAGGGCGGGAGAACAACAAAAGAACCCTAAACAAAAAACGGGACTCAAATGAGTCCAGCCAGGTAGGTATCCAGCCTCTTCTTAAAGATCCCCAGGGTAGGGGCCAGCACCACCTCCCTTGGAAGTTGGTTCCAGCTCCTAGCCGCCCTAACTGTGAAGTAGTTTTTTCGGATGTCCAATCTGTACCTCCTCTCCATCAACTTGTGCCCATTACTCCTTGTTATGCCAGCGGGGGCTAGGGGAAACAGCGTCTCCCCCAAACCCTTCTGGTTCCCCCTAGTGAGTTTATAGACGGTCACCAGGTCCCCCCTCAGCCTTCTCTTGTGGAGGCTGAATAGGTTCAAGTCCCGCAGTCTCTCACTGTAGGGTCTGCCCTGTTGTCCCCGGATCATGCGGGTGGCCCTCCTCTGGACCCTCTCCATGTTGTCCACATCCCTCCTGAAATGGGGCGCACAGAACTGGACACAATACTCCAGCTGCGGCCTGACCAGCGTCGCATAGAGGGGGAGGATCACCTCCCTGGCTCTACTCGAGATGCACCTGTGGATGCACGACAAGGTCCGGTTAGCCCTGCCAACCATGACCTCGCATTGTCGGCCCATGTTCATCTTGGAGTCAATAATGACACCAAGATCCCTTTCCGCCTCCGTGCTCTCAAGTAGGGAGTTCCCCATCGTATAAGTGTGCTGCTGGTTCCTACTACCCAAGTGCAGCACCCTGCACTTGTCCGTATTGAAACACATCCTGTTCCTGTTTGCCCACCCCTGTAACCTATCCAGATCCTTCTGCAATCTCTCTCTCCCTGCTAGCGTGCTCACCTCCCCCCAAATTTTGGTGTCATCAGCGAATTTAAACAGGTTGCTTTCCACCCCAACATCAAGATCGCTGATGAAGAAATTGAACAGCGCAGGCCCCAGGACCGAGCCCTGGGGGACTCCACTACCCACCTCCCCCCAAGTCGAGTATGATCCATCCACCACCACCCTCTGAGTGCGACCCTTCAGCCAATCTGCAATCCATCTGACTGTGTAGGCATCTATGCCACAGTCGCCTAGTTTATTAATTAGGATGGGGTGAGAGACGGTGTCAAAGGCCTTGCTGAAGTCCAGAAAGACTACATCCACCGCGACACCTGCGTCCATGGCCTTTGTGACCTGATCATAAAAGGCAATCAGGTTGGTCTGACATGATCTCCCCCTAATAAATCCATGCTGATTGCCCCTGAGCATCATCTCGGATGCCGGCCCATCACAAATGTGCTCCTTGATGATCTTCTCAAAGAGTTTCCCCAGGATTGAGGTAAGACTGACGGGCCTATAATTGCCCGGGTCCTCCCTTTTCCCTTTTTTGAAGATGGGGACCACATTAGCTACCTTCCAATCGTCTGGCACCTGGCCCAAGCACCACGATCGCTCGTAGAGCCGTGCCAGGGGCCCTGCAATAACCCCAGCCAGCTCCCTCAGCACCCTGGGGTGGAGAGCATCCGGACCCGCTGACTTGAACGCATCCAGCCCCTCCAGAAGCTCTCTAACCCGGTCCTCCCCAACCTGAGGTCTGAAGGCGATCCCCTCGCGTCCGGCTTCTATCACAGCAGGGAAGTCCCGGTCCCTGCACAAGAAAACGGAGGTGAAGAATTGGTTAAAGAGGTCCGCTTTATCCTCTGACGCAACCACCAGATTGCCCCGCATATCCTGCAGGGGCCCCACATTACCCGGCGCCTTCTTCATCCTCCCAATATATTTGAAAAAGGACTTTTTGTTATCCTTAATCCTGGACGCTAATCCGAGCTCTATCTCCGCCTTGGCCTTCCTAACAGCCCGCCTGCAGGCCCGAGCAGAGGAGGTATACTCCTCTTTGGAGATTACACCCCCCTTCCACCGGGCGTACGCCACCCTTTTGGCAAGCAGGCATTCCCGGACACCCTTGGTGAGCCAGGGGGGCTTTTGGACACTCCTGCCCGCCTTGCTTCTTGTCGGGATGGACACCCCTTGGGCCCCGAGTATCGTTTCCTTAAGGAACGACCACTCCTCTTGGACGCTGAGTTCCTCTGCCCTCAAGGACCCCAGTTCCTCTCCCACTAATCTCCTCATCTCACTGAAGTTGGCCCTCCTGAAGTCTAGGGCCACCACCTTGCTGCGGGCCCTTGACACTCTACGCTGGATGGTGAATTCCAGCACGCGATGATCACTATTGCCCAGGTGGTCAAGAACCTGGAGGCCTCTTACCAGGTCGTCGCCTGCGGCCAGGACCAGGTCCAGCAGAGCATCTCCTCTGGTGGGACTGTGCACCTCCTGAATCAAGTGGAGGTCCTGCAACTCGGCCAAGAACCTCCTGGAGCGGTCCGTCCCGGCTGACTGCTCCTCCCAGCAGATGTCCGGGTAATTAAAACCCCCTTTTCTGCCTTCTCTATCCTGCCTGTACAGCCTATGGCCCCTAATGTTAACTGCCCAGTCATGGGATGAGTCCCACCATGTCTCTGTTAACCCTACGACATCTGGATTTGAACTAGCTATTCTGAGGGCGAGTTCTTCCTGTTTGTTCCCCATGCTACGAGCATTGGTGTACAGGCATTTAAGGCCTTGCAAGACTGTGTGCCCCCCCACCCCCTGATTAGCCAGACCATCAGGACCCCTGTTACTTACCTTTGCACCCCTTGCCCTGATGGCAAGACCCCCATTACTTACCTTTGCACCCCTTGCCCTGATGGCAAGACCCCCATTACTTACCTTTGCACCCCTTGCCCTGATGGCAAGACCCCCATTACTTACCTTTGCACCCCTTGCCCTGATGGCAAGACCCCCATTACTTACCTTTGCACCCCTTGCCCTGATGGCAAGACCCCCATTACTTACCTTTGCACCCCTTGCCCTGATGGCGTCTCCTCGTCTTCCTGCAGCCCCCTCCCCCGGCGAGTCTAGTTTAAAGCTCGCCGTACGAGATCAGCCAACCTGGAAGAGAAGATACGCTTGCCATTAGGGGAGAGATGAAGCCCATCCCGCCCCAGCAATCCCCCCTCCCGAAAGCATGGGTCGTTGTCAAGGAGCCCAAGGCCTGCCCGGTGGCACCAGATGCGTAAGCGCTGGTTGACCTCACCAATGCAGGCCCCGTGCCTCTGTCCCCGCCCCCTTGCCGGAAGAAGAGAGGAAAAAACCACCTGCGCCCCCGTCTCCTTCAGCCTGGTCCCCAGAGCCTCGTGGTGGTGGTGGGAGCGCAGTGGTGGTGGTGGGAGCGCAGTGGTGGTAAGCAGGGAGCTCCTGCAGATGCCACCAGCGCTGTTGGCAGTGGTGGGGAAGGGGGTGTGACAAGTGCTGACCAGAGGTCAGATGCTGTTAGCAGCGGCGATGGCAGCCAGTGGGGATCGCTGATCGCCTGCAGACACCACTGGTGGTGTTGGCAACAGGGTGGCAAGCGGCGACCACCCACAGGCCTTTTTGTAGGGTGTGCAGCGTCACGCTCGAGTGCACGTGCACCCACATGCACCCCCCATACGTCACCCCTGAATCAGCGAGGCACAGCAAAAGTTGTTGCGAGCCCAAGTTAATTTCTTAGATGCAGTGAAATGACATGCACAGGCCAGACTATCAAGTAGAGAGAGTCTTTTGAATACCAAATAGAAGGGGGGAGGGAGTGGGAAGGGGGACACTGCTGAGAGAGGGGAAAATAAGTAAAGACCCCCATGCAGAGAGGGGACACAGAAACCAATCTATGTAATTAGATAAGAATCCATAGTCCCTGTTTAGCCTGTACCTTATCATCCACAGGCTGGTTTGTGTTCCTTGTATTTCTTGTGTTTCTTGATTGTATTCCCTGTACAAGTTTGTTTTTAAAGTGTTTTGGTCTAAGGACGGATACTCTGAGGTCAGCAGTGGAATATCCAGCAAGGTTAAAGCATCCTGCCGCAAGCCTTTGTGTCTTCCTGAAGCTGATGATGGTTCGGGTTCATTCAGTCTTTCATGTAGGGATTGCACTATCTGCCAATGTAGACAGCAGAGGGGCACTGTAAGCAGGGGACGGCCTAGATGAGAATGGTGGAGTTTGAGGGAAATGGTCCTCATCTGCTGTAATCCATATTATTTGGCTCAGGGATGATGTGGTATGTATTAAGAAGAGAACACAGTTTGCATCTGGGTCCATTGCAGGGTCTGGTACTTTGGTGAGAATGGGAGTTAGGTAGCCCATTGTTTGCAAGGCTGCAGTGTGGATTTGATTTAAATCAAATTGATTTAAATAGCAACTTAAATCGCTGGTCAGGAAGCCTCAATTTAATCACGTTTGATATAACCTTAATACATATTATTCACAACTCAGAGATGGATGTGAGTTGCACTTTTAGAAGGTACACACTATTCATTCTAACGCAGTGATTTATTTTGATTTTTTTTTTTTTTAGATTAATTTTGCAGCTACATCAGAAAACTGAATTATGATTTGGTTATTTTATTTACCAAACTGAATTGAAGGAACTGCTTGTAGAGTTACTGGGAGGTGAACTATCTCCAATTCACTAGATTAATCATGGATCTTTGGGGGATCTTTTTGCCACGCTGTATTAGGAGGACAGCAACCATCACCAAAGGCAACAGACATTTAAATTGTTTTAGTTAACTAATACAGGGGTTGTCAACCAGGGGTACGCGTACCCCTGGAGGTGCTTGAGAAGGCCCTCGACAGAGTGCTGCCACCCACCACTGTGCATCACCCTGCGTGTGCTGGGGTCGGGTGACCCCCTTGCAGCCTGCGTGCACCTCGTGTATCCAGGCAGGTGGTTGGGTGCATGCGGCGCTGTGCGCAGGCAGCTGGGGGCCATGAGCACCGGCTGCTCATGGTTGGAGAGGAAGGGAGAGGGGGGAGGCATGGGGCAGCGTGAGGTGCCCAGCCCCTTGTTCATTCCTCCCAGGGAGTGGTGCCAGGAGCAGTGGCTGCCGCGGCTGCCCCACACTCACCACCCTGCCCCGGGGGTGCACTTATTAAAAAAAGTTGAAAACCCCTGAACTAGAACAACAAGCTTATGTATTTTGGGTATTTTTCTTCAACAACAAACGTGTATAATCATTTTGACAAAACAAACATATGTATTTTTGAATTTTTAACTATTTTATTTATAAATGTGAAATGTGTTTTTAACAAAAACTAAATAGACTACTTCAGCCAGGTCAACACAAGAAACTTAAAATACTTGCACAGAGACAATAGGGCTGATGGGTAGGTAAAAAGGTCTGTTTCCTCTTATCTCCATAGACTGTTATTAACAAAGATGTTATCTCTGGAGACAAATCCACAGTTTGAGAAATGAAAGTAAGCATCACAGAGCGTGTCTACACATGAGCATATGCTGTGCAGTAATTTAGGTTACTGTTCAGTAACTGAACATTACTGTGTAAACATGCACATCCGTACTGCGCAGTAAACTATGGTGACTTATGCCGACATGGGTGTAAATTTGCTACCTGCATGATGCAGGAAGCAAATTTATGCCCAATTAGTTACTGTGCAGTAAGACATGGGTAGATGTTTTACTGCGCAGTAACACTGTGTGTGCATGTGTACTGACTTGGGACTAATTTTAGTCCAAGTCAGTGTACACACAGCGTTACTACATTGTAATGCCTACGCATGTAGACACCAGCCTAAACCACTTAATGTGCAGTAAATGCATAAGCACCCACAGAGATGCTTAATGGGATCCTCTGTACTGACCACTAAGTCCTATTGGGTAGAGAGGTTTTCTTTACTAATCTATAGAGGAACTTCTAAGATTGGGCTCCTACTATAGTCCATGGCATGTTGTGACCTATTTATAAAACTTTTCTAGGAAGGTCACATGAATATATTGTCTCAAATAGTATATAATTAGAAGTTATAATCCCGATTCCATGATGATCTCTTTGAGCTTTAAACACATCTTAAATTAAAATTATCTTTATATAGGTATGTATTTTTTTAAAGCATCTTAACAAAAATCTGATTAAAGAAAAAAATGTGATTTAAATAAAAAAATCAGATTAAAAAAAAAGTTGATTTTTATCCACCCTGAGAAGCTGTTTGAGGTTAGGGGGATTCCAGTTAGCCAGTCTGGTTTGTCCCCTGTGGCTACACTGAAACAACTGTCGTTTTTCAGGAGGGGATGGAGGTCAGTAAGGCTGTGCCCAACATTTTTGAGCTGGGGGCTGTTGGTGATACTAGCAGTGGCGCTCTGTTGTCTTTGTTTCCCAGGTTGGTATTGCAGGAGGTTGGAGCGAGGTCTGAGTCTGGCTTTGTTGCGTACACTGACAGCAATTTTGGGATTGTTTTCTGATTGTAGGATTCTCTGCTCCAGGCCCTTCAGGTGTGCATCCTGGGGGGTGGGAAGTATTGAAGCAGCTAGTGTAGTGTCTAGCTGGGCTTTGAACAGTATATCTAGTAGTGTGTGTAGGAGGAAAGCAAGCTGTAGTAGTTGGTAGGTTTCTGGTACAATGTGGTGGCAGTGTAGCCATTGAAAACCTTTAGAGTAATGTCTAGGAAATGAATTTGCTGGATTCCAGTGTTGATTTGAGGGAGTGGTGGAAGTTGTTAAAACCCTGGCGAAATGTCTCTAGGGTTTTCTTACCACCTGTCCATAAGATGAAGATGTTATTGCTGTGCTTTACGTATATGAAGGGGGTGAGAGGCAGCTATGGAGCAACCAGACTTCCAGGTCTGCCTTAAAAATATTGGCATGTCTTGGGGGCCATACGCATGCATGCCTATGGCATTTCCGCTTGTAATTACATATACGGAGTCCCCGTATCTGAACTAATTGTGTGCAAGGGTAAAGAAAGCCAGTGTTTGTGCAACCCCCAAGAAGTGAAATGAATACCAGTCCCCATCCCCTTATGCCAGTGTCTTATGGAGAGAAAAGTCACAGCTCCAGAGCTGATACCATCTGTAGACATCCATCCATGCTGATTAAGGGTGCACCGATAAACATTTTTTTGGCCAGTGCCGATGGTGGATTATTTACCAGCCATATCGGCCAATACCAATCTGATTGCCGATATGCAGTCTGGCAGCATGGAGAGCAACCTCCAGCTGGTAAGTCTGTTGGGGGGAGTGGGACATGGAGGATGGAAGAGGCATGGGGGGCAGATCGAGGCCCCCATGTTGAGGGAGGGAGCGAAGCTGGTGCTGGGGCAGGAATAGGTGCTGCTGGGGTGGGGCAGGGCGTGGGGTGGAGCCAGTGGCTT